TACAAATTTTATTTTCCTTACCTAGATTTTTTGAATGTCTACTAATGGCTGAATAAAAAATTTCATCCTTTCCTTTTGTCATGCACTGATTGAATTTGTTTTGTATGTAATATTGCAGCCTGCAATATTTTATGACCACTTGTATGAATTTGGCATCCGTGATGTATTAACTGAATTAGTAGAAGCTAGAAGACTGGCTGGGATCCATTGCCGGAGTTCTGTTAAGATATACCATGCCAATAATGAAGGTTATGTTGCACAGGTTGGTGATACCTTAGTGATGAAACTAGGACATTTTGATTGGAACCCTTCAAAGGAAAATCAGTTGGGTGGGAGCTGGCAAAAGTTTATTGAAAAAGGATCAGATTATCAAGTTTGGTTAAGACAGTAATTCAATTAAACGGGGGGCCAAGTCAATAATCTGTTGTTATATTGATAGAAGAATATCTGTAATTGTACATCCCCAATCCATTAATATTTTTCAAGGCAGTTTAATGTTAGACCCCAAGTAATCAGGTGAGAAGGAATTCTCTATTTTTTTTTTCTTTTGTAATAAAATACTGCAATTGGGCATATTAGGATATTTATTGTAAGAATGTGTTATATTGAATTAAAAATATTGTCAATCCACCCTTGAACCAATAGATTAATGAGTTTGAGTAAAGACTAATTAATTCTTCTTCTCACACGCACACACCAATATTGTTAATAAGTTAATCTTCTTAATAGTTGCTATCTCGTAATGTTTAAAAATTTGATCTTACTTTTATCTAATAAACTATACCATAAAAAAGATAGTAGTACCCTTTGGTCCTTTTGAATAAATACATACATAATCTTACATTTGTATGATAAATATAAATACAAACATAAGAAGGTTGGTTGGCATACTTAAAAAGTTTAAGTCCCAACCCAACGACTATTGACTACTCGAATTTCAAACTCATATATACTTATTATTAAATTAAATATTTGGATAGTTATATATCTTATAAGATATATACTAGTATTATTTTACGATGCATGGCCTTCCTGGAGGAAGCAATTTGAGGGTCTAATTATTTCTAAAATTTGGTATAGGAAATGGATGTGAGGGTGAGATGGGGTGACAATGTCTTGTCTCTTTTAATTAAAGTCTTAAGTCTTTCAATATTTTCTTGGAGGAGAGATCGGGAAGACTCTTTTTTTTTTTTTTTTTAAGTTTTTGGGTCAATGTATAAATCAGTATCACCTTTAAAGCATGTGCCCTCTCTTCCCCACTCTCTGTCCCTTTCAACGATGACTTGGAGTCAATTCTTAGAGCTTCCAAAGGCCAAAGCATCTCACCCTATCTTTTCTCCCCTTTCCCTAACTTGATTTTCAGTGCATGTCTTGAGAATGATTTATTTATTTATATTATGAAAAAGTAGCTTCTGAGATTTGGAGCATATGTCATCTCTGTATACTATTTATTCCCATTACATCCCCTTTGAGGTAGATTCTGGTATATGCACAAAAGGGGGAAAGAATGTCACTTCCAAAATTAACTTTTCTTTTAAAAGTTCAGATTTGGGTTTGTTTTTCTTTTTTTTTTTAATTTTTCTTTTTTTCATTAAATAGTTTTTAATAAGGGAATTTATTTGACACATTTTAGATAAGAGTTTCATAAATTCTACTCAACCAAGCAATGGCTTGTTAGCACGTAAACATTTAGCTCATTAGTTGATGTATTATTCTATTGTCTAAAAAGTAAGATTCGAATTCTCTTCTCTCAATTATAAAAAAAATAATAATGATAATAACTTGTCAACATGTTGAGTGAGAGTGAGGAAAATTTTGTAATAGTAATACTTTGGACTATATGAGTATAGGCGTACAAAATTAATGGTTTAACTATTTCATTGCTTTGGCTTCCTTATTATGTGAAAATGCTAGGGTGTCTTAATTTGTTTATTCCAATTATGTCTTACTTATAAATTGCAAGATATAAATATTTTTAAAGTTCAAAAGAATTACACAAATTGTTATTGTGCCTATGGAATACTGTTTCAGAATTACAAGAGTTTAGATTTGATAGCTATGCTCCTCTGTCTTTGATATAGGAATGGCAGAATTAAGAACTCCAGTTTAAAAAGCTCTTCCCTTCACTTATTTTGGAGCATCTGAAATCGAAATTTATAATGTATAAATTGATATTGAAACCGTTTAAATTTTTAATCCTATCAACCAAAGTTTATTAGAATTTAATTGATAACCGTTAATTATTAAAACCAATCATTTTGATGAATATTCGATTCAAAAATTCAAATTAAACTTGATTATTAAAAAAAAAAGGAAAACAACTATAACATTACACAAAATTGAATAACAATAATAAAATTTTACTAAATTTTATAAAATGAACTCATTGATAACAATTAATAATAATTCGTTTCTTACGTAATACAATAGTCTTTTAGTTCATCAACGAAATTACCACAAAAATAAAAAAAGAAATCATTAAGTAGGTTTAAACAAGTTTTGTTAAAATACCCATCAAAATTCTATTAAAATATAATCGAATTTAAGTAACAAATATTTTAGCCCTCTTATTCAAATCCTTCCCAAAACCTAACCAGGTATTAATTTAAACAAGAAAACCATGCTCATAACTTATTCATATCAAGATTTTTCAGCTTTCCTCAAGGCTTTTATAACTTTGGGGTTAGTTGGTGTTTCATTGAAAAATAAAACAAAGCACACTAAGATAAATGCTCCACAATTTACCTCTCTAGCGGGATCTAAGAAACTCTGTCGTTACTGATATAGATAATAATAATTAACATAATATCTAAAAAAAATTTAAATTATTTTTAAAAAAATCAAAAAATTATATTTTTATTATATTCAATTAATTTTTTTAATTAAATAAGCTCTTATAATTAATGATTGATTAAACAAAATAAATTGAAAACATTATGTCAAAATAAATTTTATAAAAAAAACCTACAATATGAATCTAAAATCTTTACTTTCACTTTTTTTTTTGGAAAATTTACTGTCACGTTTATTCTTATTATAATTTGGGATATATACAAAATTTAGAGACAAAAGCCATTAAATCAAGATATGAATCTAAGAAATGTTTCAATCCTACAGAGATACGGAAAATCAATAATTGTAGCATCTTTATGTCTTATGTCCAAAAAAGTACAATCATCGAATGCGTAATCCGTCGGACTACGAATTTAAGGCACCACCAAAACAACAATTCCTTTTCGTTCTCTCATTGGACAACGCCAAATCCTCAATTATTGCAACACATTGAACGACCCATTTTAATTTAAGGAAAGTGCTTTTGTCTTTGATGGTTTTTAAAGGTTGGGTGTGAGGCACTTCATGTGTATGGGTTTCTAAGAATGTGCTTAGGGTGCTTGTGTATGTCTTGGATCGAGATTGTTTTGTCCATCTGTTTTAATGTTTGGGTTGCGAGTTGTGTTAATTTAATTATTTTATCATCCCAGGATGTATACAAGTTCATTGCTGAATCACATTATAATAAGACATATATATGTTTGAAAATTTTTTAATTGATGAATATAATTAAATTGTTATTTGTTATTTTAAATAGTTTTTTTAAAGGAAAGATATTGATAGATGAAAGCGCATTATATTTTTTAAATTATTAATTTTTATTTCAAATAATTTTTTAAGTATAATATAAATAATATATACAATTGCACATAATATTATCAATAAGGATTGAAATTCAAATTAAGAAGTAGCACATTAGAATTACCAAGGATATGTTTGATTCACATAATAGATAGAAATAAAATAAAATAAAATAATTATTCTATGATAATAGAATAAAGTAATAATAAAATAGTTATTGTACAATTTGGTACAATAAAAGGAATAGGATAAGAGTGGATATTTTGTTTTATTGCGGTGTTTAATGAGTCAAAATAAGTTTAAAATAAAAAAGAAATAAGTGATAAAAAAATTAAAAATACTCTTTATTTAAATTAACATTTTTTTTATTAAAATAATATTATTATTTACATTAAAATAATACATTGTATACACTATTTTGATACAAAGTTTGACCTTGGTATAGACAAAAAGGAAAGATAAATTCTAGAGACTTTTAAAAATTTATCTAAATAATATTTTGTTCTAAATAATATTTTTAATGTATAATTTTTAATAAAAAAAAAAAACTCACCAAGGGAAAAGTTTCTACCCATTATGCATAATGTTATGCATCATTTAATAACTTTGTTCAGTTCAATGAAAGAGAGTTGCAAGCCCAGATCATTAAACAAAAAACATAAAATCTAAATTATATTTTAAAATATAATTTATCTAATTTATAAATAAAAATTCAAATTGCATTAAATTACTTTCATTAAAAAATATTTTATAATTTATAAATTAATATTATAGTTGAAAATCTATAAATTAATATTACAAAATTTGAATAATTTATACTTCAAATTTTATATTTTAAAAAATTCATAATTATACATAATTAATATTGCAAAGTAAATAAAAAATAATTTGCATGTGACGACAAATACTAGTATTTTCTAAAGTTGGATAAAATTATTTTTCAAAATTGGCTTGAAATAAAAACTTGACTCAAACTTGTAATAAACCAAAAAGGGGTAATCCCCATTTATTCCCTCTATGCGAGGAGATGAGAAGATAAAAAAGAAACACTGCTTTTTGTTATCTCTCCTTCTCTCTTATTGGATTTGCTAAAACTGGCGGCGGGAAAATAAATAAAACCCAAATTCATACACAGAAATGCCAGAAAAAACAGAGAAAAATCTCCAACGCTTTTCCTTTTTCTTTTAAATTTTTAAGTAAAAACCCCAACTCCCCAAAAGCCTCCAAAAAGTAACTCAAAAAACACAAGAGAAGAACAAAGAAGCAGAAAAAAGAAACACCAAATCCACGCGTGCTCAAAAGCGCGTGGAATCCGCTTACGCCTATCCTCTTTTTCTCCTTCTCTTAAACGCAATCTCCTCTGATCTCCACTTTCCAATTCCCATCCAACGCTCCCGAACATCCCTTCATCTCCACCGGCGTGGTACATTGTAACTCCCTTGCTTCCGAACCTAACTCCAAACCTCTCCTTTGGGGCGAACCTAATTTTTTTTTTACTCTCTTCTTTAAAAAAGTAAAAAGAAAAACAATTTACTTTTTTTTTTATTAATTTTAATGTTTTAATTTTGTATTATGACCCTGGTTGGATCCCTTTATCTTCGCTTCCCGGTCTGAAAATCCAATTCTTGAGAGAGAAACTAAAAAAGAAGGAAAAGATTTTGAGAGAGAGAGAGAGAGTTTCCACCGTCGTTTTAACTGAAACTTTCCCGTTGTTTTGAACTTTTCTTCTTCTCTCTCTAATCAAGCTTAGCCTCGTTAATTACAGTTAAACTTTTTTAATTAAAAAAAAAAAACGACTTGCCGTTTTTTAGCTTCTCTTGAAGAACCCTAAAGAAAGGCTCTTAGGCTTGGGGCTCAGATCAAAAGCTTAAGTTCCTCTTTCACTCTTTTTTGTCTGAAGCTTTTGGTTTTTTATGGTAATTTTATTTATTTTTCAGCTTCATTTTGTTTGGTGGTGTTGTTAATTTAGCTTAGAGTTCACTAATTTAAGTGATAATTTTCTTTTTTCTTGTTCTTAATTATGTTGAAGGCAGCTTAAAGTTGATTTTTTTTTTGTATTTATTTGAATTTTTAGGGTTTTTTAGTGTGGAAATTTGGGGTTTAGTTCACTATGGAGAATTTGGGTTGTGCCCTAAATTTGATTATTTTTTGGATGCATTTAGTTGATGCGGTATTATTGGTTTAAATTTTGGTTGAATTTAAGTTTTGGTGTGTATAAACTTTTCATTTCAGTTGTTTTGTGGGTTTTGTTTCTTGTTTCTTGGAAAAGGTTTTAAATTTGTGGAGAATTCACAAATTGTTAACAAATTTATTTATTTAATTATTTTGCTTAGTTTGGTTGCTAAGAAAGTCGGTGGAAATTGTAAGGTTTTTGGAACTTTGTTTTTGTATTTGGCATTTGATTGTTTCTGTGTATTTGTGTTTTTTTGCATGATATTTTTGCACAATTCTTTGCATTACATGCTATGTATTTTTACTATGCTTTGTTTTTTGAAATCACAATGCATATCATAGAAGAAAAAATGGCGCTAAAGCAGCTGAAAATGAACTAAATAAGTGCCTTTTTTTTGGCTATTAGCTGGGATTGTTTCGTATTCTTATTTGTCTACTAATGCCATGGTCTAGGATGATATCTTGAAGAGCGGAGTAGTTGGAATTTGGTGAGACTTTTCTGTGGAATAAGGTGGTTGCGCTGTGATGATCTTATATATGGATACACTTATAGTGTGCAAAAGCATATAGCTACAAAATAGTGGTGGTTGGATTTTTAATGCCTGGTAACGAAGTTGAAGACGGGATCCACAGTCTATTTGAGCTAGACAACTCTCTCCAGGGCCAGCATCTGGCACAAGCTGGGGATGGAAATTGGCCTGTGCTTAACTATAATCAGTGGGTTGGAAAGCTGAGACAGATTGGGGCACCCCAGAATTTCAATTTGAAAAACTACAGCTTACAACAATTAGGTATCAATGAGTTCTTACTATTAATTCTACATTATTCTGCTTTTTCTTTTTGTTGCTTGCTATGGTGAAAGTTTGTTGTGCTTAGTAAAGAGGAGTGCCTAACCTGAAATGAGAAATATATTGAAAACTAATTCTTAGTTATAATTATTTGGGACACCCATTTTGTCAAACTAAACTACCAACAATATTTGCATGTTATACACAGATTCTGTAAGAGGACATGGTGATGAAGCTTTAAGTGTGCTGCATGACCAAAGCTATACGCAATTGTCTCCTGCACCTGAGTATTCCCAAATTCTTCCCAGAAACGACGAACTGAGTACAAATGGCTTCTTGCTTGGGTGCCAGAGTTTTGGGATGCAACACAATCAACCAGGGGTTTTGTGTGACAATAATGGTTATGATCAGCATAATTTGATTTCTAGAGGCTCTTCTATCTTTAATTCACATCAAGAATATGAGTCTTGTGAGAGTCCCACCCTGACAACAAATTCAGAAAGGTCGGAAATTACTGAAGCTTCTACTGATTTAAACTTTCTTAAAGGGCAACAACAACTTTTGAACACCCCACAACTGGGTATTCAGCAACCTCTACCCATGCAGCAGTCTGGCTATAGTGACATGCACTTGTTGCAGCAGCATTTAATGATCAAGCAGCTGCAAGATCTTCAGAGACAACAGCAACTTCAACAGTTTGGTGATGTGAGGCAGCAGAATACTTTAAACCAACTTTCTGCTATCGCCAAACAGTCTGCTGCTGGTCAGTTCTCACCTCTCATTAATGGAACACCTGTTCATGAGGCATCACAAATGTTTATGAACATTGTACAGCGAGGTACATCTCCCACTACTCCAGGAGCTTCTAACAGAGTTGTCTTTCCACAAGATCAAGGTCAGGCTTTCCGTTCAATTGGTCTAAGTTCTCAGCAGCCTGATGCATCTTTATATGGTACTCCTGTTGCAAGTGCAAGAAGTAATATGAGTCAATATTCTCAACAAGGAATCTCTAATGATGCTGTTAATTTGTTGACCAAGGCTGGTGGTCAAGCACAGAAGCCTACCATGCAGTCCTCAGGCACATTCTTAAGAGATCAGTACACTGTTTTGCCAGATCAGATCCACATGTCACAAGGTGCTTTAATATCCAACCCGGGATTCCAGGGGAAAGATATATTTGGACCAGCTTCTGTCCAGAGCATAAATAGTGGGAATATGTCTGCAAGCTTCCAGGCTGGAAATGCTGCACAAATCAATACATCTGCAAAGGACTACAATGGGAGGCAAGAGCGAGCTGGTTGGCCTGCAATGCAGCAGAAAACCACAGAGATTGGTCCCTCTCAGGGTTTGGTTCCTTTGGACCCAATGGAAGAGAAGCTATTATATAATATGGATGACAACTTCTGGGATGCCTCCTTTGGCAGGCGCAATGATTTAGGTGCTGGAAGTTTCAGCAATGCATTGGAGAACTCAGATTTTTCATATGCATTTCCATCTATTCAGAGTGGGAGCTGGAGTGCTTTAATGCAGTCTGCTGTGGCTGAGGCTTCTAGCAGTGATACTGGGCTGCAGGAGGAGTGGAGTGGATTGACATTTCAGAATACTGAACAGTCAACTGATAATCAGCTTTCAAACTTCGTCGATAGTGATAAGCAACAGGCAGGTTGGATTGATAGCAACCTACAGAGTGCTTCCTCCTTTAGTTCAAAACCTATGCCCATGTTCAATGACTCTGGTGTAAGCTCTAGCTTCCCTGGTTTTCAGCAGCCTAGCACTCAATTTTCAACTGAACAGGGAGAGAATCTACCCCCTGATGGATCACATGGGTCTTCTGAAAAGAAGTCCCCCAAAGTCACGTCTGAGTGGGTAGATTGTGGTGCTCAACAGAAGCAATCCTTTGAGGGAGGGCAGCAAGTTCAGTCATATGTGCATTTAGATAATACTTGGGCAGGTCGGATGTACGAGCATTCAGACAGTGGTGCACATCAGCGGAGGACTACCTCACATGAAGATTTTGGCCAACCTTATGCTAAACCTAAAGGTAGTATCCCCCCTTCACCTAAGGGATATCTTGCTGCATTTGTTCTCATAATAACAAGCGACTGTGATGTTGGTTGCAGGTAGCGCTAATGATGGTTGTTTGTCGAAGACATCAACTGGAGGAGTGGAGCAAGTACAATCTGGCACAGATAATAATCTGTTCAACAGAAAAGATTCACAGATAAAAAATAACCAGTCAACTGGTCAACAAGTCATAGATAATAATAGATCTGATTACATGAGACATGCTGATGTCTCTGCCACCAATGAAAGTGAGAGTACAGGGAAAAAACAGCATCAGATAAGCAATGAACCTCGTGGTATTGCTAGCTCTTGTGAGGGAGAAGGTGAAATATACGTAAATCAGCAAAAGAGCTACCAAAGGCAGGCTTCAAATGAAAGCTATTATTCCAAAGGATTAAGTGGCCGTGACCATGGCCAGGTCAAGTTTTTTGGTGATGTTTCTAGTGGCAATACAAACTTCAATGAGGTAATAATGTGTTTTTAATTCCAATGGTGTTTTTCATTAATGTTGATTATTTTTATGATTTGTCCTTTGCAGGTGCGGTCACCTTTAGAAGAGGTAACTTCAAGGGATGATATCAAATCAGTTGGCCCTGATGGATCAAAAACTGCTTCTCAGACAAGGTATTTACTTAAGTAAGCTCATACTAAGTGGCTTACTTATTTGTTGTTATAACATACAAATTGGTTGCTGTAAAAATATAGGGATATTTGTGTTTGTCCTCATTGTGCTTCTGTTGGTCAGCAGAATCTATTACTGACTTTTTTTTCTTGTGTAAGCCTAAAGCTTGTTAGCTTATTTTGTGCTTGAAGTTTCTGCATCGTAATGTTGAAACATGACTTACTGAATCTATGCAGTCAACATATGCTTGAGCTACTTCACAAGGTCAACCTTTCAACGGAGGGTGGTGCCATGGCACATTCTGGCTCTACAGACTCTAATGCATTGGCCAAAGTTCCTGATGCAGATGCTCATATGTCTGTTGCTCAACTATACAACCAATCTTCTGCTTCTCAAGGGTTTAGTTTAAGGTTGGCCCTCCCATCCCAACGGCTGCCAAATCCAAACCATTTCGTCAATTCTCAGGGTTCACCACAGACCCTAAGTTATCTAAAATCAGGGCAGGTCAATCAGACATGGGCTGCTCCCCCATACTCTGGTCAATCTTTGCCTCCAGCAAATGAGTTATCTCAGAGAGTACATTTGGATGCTAAATCTAGTACATTTGGACAAACAGGTGTCAACGCATTCTCAAACATGAAGGGTAGCGCTGTTGCAGCCTTTGTATCCAGTCTTCCACCACTAAGAAATCAAATACAAATGCCAAACATGCCTAATTCACCCATAGTATCTCAATCATTACAGGCAACACTGTCAAGTGCTAGTAGGAATCCCCCTTTTAACCTTGCCACCTCTCAAGATACTTCTCGACAGATTTCTACCAATCATTTTGGTCAGCAGTTTCCAGTTTTGGAGGCTTCACAGGTATCTCAGCCTTCTATCATGTCAGGCATGTCAAGGCAGGGTGAATTTTCAGCAATGCAAAATGCATGGACAACTCTGCCAACTCAGCAGAATCTTTCTGTTTTAGAACCTCTCAAGGTTCCTGCCAGCTTGCCTCCCTCCATGGATCCCACAGATAATAGTATAAACTCCACTAAAGGTGGTTATGGAGAAATGCAGGCAGGAAAAGATAGATCCCTGCAGCAAATGTCTTTTGAGATGACAGATTCTTCCCAGCTAGCTATTTTCTCTAGAGGAGAAGAACCTTCACAAAAGCATTGCTTAGATGCAAGTGCTCTGCCCTCTTCGTCATCGTTGTCTCATTCTAATCAAGAGGTCCTTGTTGGGATGAAACATGATAATAACCAAGCCTCTATGACTTCTGAGAGAAACTTTGCACCTGCTGCCCATTCTTTGAAACCATCTAGTAGTCTCCAGCAAAATTACTCTCTGTTGCATCAAATGCAAGCAATGAGTACTGCTGAGACTGATCCAATTAAGAGTGCTGATGACACTCAGCTGGTTGTTTCTGTGGCGGGACAGCAGTTGCATGAACAGAATTCAAGGTTGAGAAACTCTATGGATAGTGGACCAAATTCAGCAGCAGGTGGGGATAACAAAACTCTAAGCTTCTTCACAGGTTCAAGAGAAGATCCAAGTGTAAAAGCTTTGTCACAGAATGCTCTCCAAAATATACCTTCCCATGAAATGGTCAGATTTGGTGAAAATAATTCTCAGAGCCAATCTGCTAGCAGCTCTTATGTAACTAATCATACGAACCATGGCCAGGGTAACCTGCATATTGCACCCTCTTGGTTTAAGCAGTATGGGACCTTCAGAAATGGGCAGATGCTTTCAATGTCTGATGCCAGGATTACAAAATCTGTCTCAGGACAGTTCTCCCTCTTGAAGCCAACTCAGAATCTGCATATTCATGCCACTGTTGGGCAAGTAGATGCTGTGGAGGCTGGTCAAGCTGCTATTGCCAGGCCAGGCTCAGCTACCACCTTGGTGGCAGATGAACACTTTTCAGCTCCTTATGTGTTGCGTTCAAGTATCAACAATCAAAATTTTGTTACCACAAGACCAAAGAAGCGAAAAGCTATGACATTTGATCTTCTGCCATGGTGCAAAGAAGTGTCACAAGGTTCCCAAAAACTTCAAAATATCAGGTTATTACCATTATTGCCCATTTTTTAAAATCATTCCAGTTTCCTTGATAAGGGATAGTTTATAGTCACCATTTATATTGGCTGCAGAGATGGGCAAATTTCCAATTTGTATTCCTTTGGTCTTTTTGTTCTATCCCTCTCTTTTTCCTGGTTACTTGTGTGAATTATTGTTTCCTTGTTCACTGAATTTAATTTGAAGTTATATTTGTTTCCAGTGTCTCAGAACAAGAGTGGGCTGAGGCCACAAATCGGTTGTGTGAGAAGGTGTGTTCTTAGTTTGATAATAATGGAATTTAGTCTCTCTCCAAATATTGTCCATATTTTGGGATCCAAAATTGATTCTAATATTGCGTTACCATTGGCAGGTGGAAGATGAGGTTGAAACACTTGATGATGTGCATCCACTGCTTCGATCAAAGAGGAGGCTTGTGTTGACAACACAGCTTATGCAGCTATTGCTTAATCCTGCACCAGCATCTATTCTCAGAGCAGATGCCACCTCAAACTATAATAGTGTATCATACTTTATTTCTAGAGTAGCCCTAGGTGACGCATGCAGCCTTTGCTGTGGTGTAAGAGATAATATGCAGCTCTCCTCTGACAACAGTAACATGTGAGTATTGGTCTTAGACATTGTGAATTATGAGGCTAAAATACAAATTCTTTGTGCATGAAAACATAATGCTAATTTTAAGTCAACTTCGGCTGCAGATTCATTTTAAACTTGAGATGGTATTTTCATAAAATTTCTGGCCTTGCGTTCTAAGAATTATATGCTAACATCTTCAGGATCTCTGAGAAGCTGAAAACTTTCGAGAAAACTGGTGACCAGAAAATTTTGGAAGTCATGGAAGATTTTACTGATAGAGCTAAGAAACTAGAAAACGACTTCCAAAGGTATGTGTGCCATTAATGAATTTCTGCATATTTGGTGACCATTCTTGTTCTGATGGAGAAATGCACAGTTACACAGAGACAGAATTATAGCTGCATTTATATCAAATGTTGAAGCGTGAATTTGATCACAATCATATAATATACAATTGACCAAACCTTGTCATTCAAACTCCAGGAAGAATGTTCCTTATGGCTGATAAATTGACCTTGAGACCTATTCTATGGTTTCACTTGCTTCCTTACCATCATTTGTTGCATGGTAATATTATCAAATTATGTACCAAAATAGATAATGATGTTGCCTTCATAAGCCCATCTCCTGAAATAAAAGGATTGCCCTTTTATAAGAATTGCTGCTTTTATTTTCCAGATTTAATGCCCCAGTGCACAATGGATAGTTCTTTTATAGCTTTTTTCATTTGAGGAACAATTGTATCAATAACTTCATGATGTTTGTTGCATGAATGCTATTTGTTTTTCCAGATTGGACAAGACAGTGTCAGTTCTAGACATCAGAGTGGAATGTCAGGAGCTGGAACGTTTTTCTGTCATCAACCGATTTGCCAGATTTCATATCCGAGGACAAGGAGATACCTCTGGCGCCGCGTCGTCCTCTGCATTACACAAACCAGTTCCCCAGAGATATGTCACAGCACTTCCAATGCCTAGGAATCTACCTGAGGGGGTACAATGTTTTTCACTGTGATCATGATTTTAACTGATCCTCTCTCAAAATGAATCTTGTTTTCATCTATTCTCTGCATGCAATATCAACGCATCTCTCCATGATCTCTCTCTTCGCTAACCTTAATGCTGGCAAGCAAGAAAGACGAGAATGCATGATGGAATGCTGGACGGGTCAACCTTGTAACTGAGGCCCTCAGTTATTTTGAGTTGAGGCCATCATTGTAATTTTTGAGAAAGTAAATATTGTTTCTTGTATATTTGCATGAAAGTCCAAGGAGAATAGGAGTATTCTAAGTATCTTTTGAAAGGAGCAAGAGGATCGTATCAGTATGAATGTCTTTTAACTTGTTACATAAATAGTGGAATTTAGCTTGCCTAGAACGTTGATAATATTTGGATCTTCGCCTTTGTTGGGTACACTTGGGTCTTCTTTTTCCTTTTCACTCTTTCAGTTGTATTCTGTTATGAGCTGGAAGGACAGGAGACCAGCAATTATTCAGCAAATGAAAATATTTATGGCAGGCACAAGAAGTTGGAATTTTATAATGTCTAGGGTATGTTACAGGGCGGCTTCCCACTTAGGATTTGCACCGCTTAAATGGCCTTTGGTTAAATGCTTCTCTGACCATGCACTGCATGAAAGATCTGTTTCCTCAGTCACGTGTGTGTGTGTGGTTACCTTGACTTGCATTTTATTGGGGGAAAACAAAAGATCTACCTGAAAAGGATTGCAGAACCTTTCAGTGACAACTTTATGAACTAGTGTATTTGTTTTCTTTGAAAAGTACAAGGTTTCAGACGCTGATGCTCTGTCCCCCCCTCCCAATGCCTGCACGAGAGGTTGAGTAAAAGACAAGAGAAGACTTTTTATGACAGCAAAAGGATATCTGCTTTGTCTTTTTTGCGCTTCTGAGGTTGGAAGGATTCTGAGTACTTGATTGCCTTTCATTCTCTCCTTTTTAAAATCGACTGAAAGCAGCACTGACACGTCAGTTGTTGTGGATACTCTTAATAACGAACTTATATCCTCGCAGTCAATATCAGTGTCTGATCCATTTCATGATTGGAAAGTGATGTGAGAAGGAGATCATGGAAAAAGCTGAAAAATCCTGTGAGAACAAGAAGAATAAAATTAAAGAACTAGAAACAAAAACAGTCAATTTCTAAAAATATTTCCTTGGTGGGGTTGGTTTCCCAAATCCCAGGTTTTCTCATTGGTGGACAACCAATCTTCTGACAGCATTGGTGGGGAATGTCTGTTGTTTTCAACACCCGAATGCTTCAACAATATGAACAAAATAATTATCCAATAACAGGGAGAATAACAGATTAATTCCACCATCTCCACGTGGGTTTGCACCTTTTTCCTTGTACCAAATGGGGCCCTAAAAATCACCCTGGTCAGTCCAATTGAGTAGCAGCCTGGGATCCTGTCTGGTTGGAATTTGATTTGATTATTCTTTTACGACTTGTGTGTGTGTGTGTGTGTGTATATATATATATATATATATATATATATATATATGATAATTCTATTGGCTTGTACTTTGTTGCTGTGGTCCTATAAATAACCTGGATTTTGTTCCAGGACCCTTTCTTCCAAACGCGCGTGTTCACAAAAATCATGATCCTTCTAGGAGAGCAAATTATTTTCTTCTCCGCCAAGGCATTGCCCGCTACACATGTTACTAACTTTTTCTGGAAACATGGAACAACATGGATATAAACCTTAGAGAACTCACTCAAGAACACTGTATAAACAGAAACCTTTCACCCTGGAAACTAGTTTCTGTTTTCACTGTAAGGCAGGAGACACAATCTGTTCTGAGTGTGCTTGGTTCTTGAATCCAATTATGTTGATGAAACTTCTGGATCGAGAAAATTTGCTGGCTCTATGTATGATCAAGGATCCAAAACGTAATGGCTCTAACATAAACCCCCCTTCTTGAACGTGGAAATCTTACAACTTGGATTTCTATGACTAAGGGTTCCCCTCTTTACTTCATTGAATGAATCAAACAAAGACAGGACCCTGGTTAAAGTTTTCGGGATTATTGGGTTATGGCTGATAGGGTAGGCCTTGTTACAACTATCACAGACAGGGCTTGTAAGATATACAAGAACGTGGAGGATAGTAAATCTAGAAAGGGGAGAAACCTGAATGATTACCTGCAAGCTTGCTTGTTATGAGATTAAAGTAGTCCAGGACCCTTAAAGAGATTTCGACTGTCGTTGATGGAGCATCAAAGAAAGATATCAATTGAGCAATTAAAGTTATAAAGAACTAGGGGGACTATGGACCCTGGAGAACTTGTAAGGCTGTTCTGTTCTACACTTGGCATGCACAATCAAGCCATCAAGGCTGTTCAAGGAGCTCTTATGCAAGTAGAAGAGTTAGATTAAGAAGGAACCCGAATTCGGTTTTGGCAATGTAAAGGGGTTCTTGTGATAAGGAGAGAAGCATTGTAAACAAATAAAAAATATGTCAAAGGTGTTAAAAGAAGAAGATCATAGCAGCTCGTGGAATACTAAGTGCCATGACAGGTAGAAATAAATAAGAAGAGAATTAAGGAGTAGAAGAAAATTAGAGAGAGAAACTCTAGAGGAGAATGTGTTAGCTTTTGGGGAAGAGTCCCTTAATGAATTGTAAAGGTTTTATATATAGTGTTAAAAATAGTGATTACAAGAAAAAGCTTTAATACACGTACTGAATGACTTTGTTAGGAAGAGCTTTAATGTTGAGTAATTGTTACTGAGACTTAATATCGAGTAACAGTTAAAAAATTATTATGTGACTATTGAAGTAATTAAGTGTAATAAGACTTGTTCTCGAGTTTAAGGTAACAGAGAATAGGTATATGTGAAAAGATACAAAAGAAGAAATTGTACGTGAACAAGTGTAAAAGAAAAAGTTGTACATGAATTGGCATAAGACAAGAAGATATATATGAATAAGTACACAGAGAACAAGGTTCAGAAAAGGTTAAGAAGAAGACCTCTTAACTACATATTTAAGTCACCAAGCCAAGTTATCCAGAATATTCGAAGATGAAAGTAATCCATTAACTTTGTCACTTATTTCGGGTTGTTTTCACTATCATCCATGTGAAGTGGTTATTCCGTGCGAAATGGTTATTCTACATATATTAGTTGTTTCATATAGAGTAATGCTCAACTTATTATAATCGTTCTGTGTGAAGTAGAGTTTCACTTATTCTAATAGTTCTGTGTGAAGTAACACTTCACTTATTTTATTTGTTCTATGTAAAATAGTATTTCACTTATTGTGGTTATTCTTTATACAATATTATATTGTGAAATAATTCTTTAAACAATAAGTATTAACCAAAATTAAGTATTTATAGATAGCATACATCAAATTTTAGATTCTGAAACAACTGTTAAAGGTATCAATTCCAACTTATTTTCATAAAAGATTTAATGGATTCGTTTACATTTTGTACTTTCTTTCAGGGGTAGAAATTGCGGTTGCAGCTAAGGTTGCAATCAAGGAGTCGTACAGGGTTCTTGCTCCTTATGCTTTAAGGCTAATACCCCAATGGAATGCCGAAGAAGTCTAGCAAAATGTAAGAAAATTTGCAACTCTTGAAGTTGTGGGGCAAGAAATTGAGTATTGCTGATTGAGATTGCTCTTCTTTTATGTTACACCTTGGAAGGAGCGATAAGAAAAAGTTCAGTTGGAAATAACTAGTGCCGGCTGGTGGGTTAAGCCACCAAAGTAAGGGTTTAGGCCTCAAATGTGATGAGGTATATAATTTTATAATAATATAATTAATTATATTAAAAATATATAAAAATTAAGATAATTAATAAAAATATTTATTTAATATTTAATAAATATCTATTTTTTTCACTTTTATATCTCTATTGATTTTCAACTATTTATCTATTTCCTATAAAAATAAAATTTTAACAAAATAACATATTTTCTCATTTCTTTAATTAGGAGCCTAATAAATTTAAATTTTTTATCACTTTATAATTCTTGCAACGCTATTAATTCTCAATTGTTTCTCTTATTTCTAATTAACTAACCACAATATGTATTTAAACTTCAACAACTATTTTTCTTATCTATTTCTTTTATTTTTAATTAACTAACGAAAATATGTACTTAATACTCTCTAATAGTTATTTTTGCCTATATACAAAATAAATAATATTTTTATTTTTAGAGTTAAAAATTAAAAAAAAATTATACAAATGGAAAATATCAATCCAATCAATATATTTAATTATATAAAAAGACTCGATTATTTTCCAAATGCAGATATTGCTTTTAGAATAATATTAACAGTTTCAATAAGTGTTGTTTCAACAAAAAAAAAATTCAAAACTAAAATTAATAAAATGATCAACAATATCTCAAGAAAAGTTACATGGATTGATTATATTATTAATTGAAAAAGAAATATTAGAAGATTTTGCATCTAAAAAACCTAAAAGAATAAAATTTTAATAAATCTTTTATCTTAATTTCAATAAAAAAGAAGTCTCATTTGAATATTGAGCTTCAAGCCTTCAAGTTTATTGAATCATCACTAAAGATAACCCATAAAATGGGCTTCATTGAAGTGTAGAAAGATTGAGAAAAACAAAAAATAGAAAGAACTACATTTTCCCCCTATACATATCTAGTAACCATTTGTTTCCAAGATCATCATGGATCACCCTGTAAATTACCCTTTAATTTTATTTTCTCGTGTGTTATTTAATTGCATTTCATGCAGCCCAGATATAAGCACTAATCTTTGCTGCTAATTCAGAGAAACTAATTAGCTGATATAGATTTTAAGATTTGACTCTTAACAATCTTAATGAAAAATAATCAAACCAATATGTATTTGAATTTTATAATTTATATGTTAATTAAGTAGGTAAGAATATTTTGTTTAGAGAACTTATTTTGTAGTAGGATTAGAGGCCAAAAAAAGGGAAGTTCACACCATGTCTCTTTCGATTCGGACCGTTACAGGTTTAGGTTCTTTCAAGTTCAAGTTATTTTGGGTTCGGATCTTTTTGAATTTGGGTTTTTGATTTTATATTCAATTCAAATTTAATTAAATTCGAATTTGGATTTTCTTTTACATATTTTCAAATTCAGGTTTATTTTGTTATGCATGATTATTTTATTTTTTGTTAAGTATATATCTTAGATTATTACTTATTTCTTATGTTATTATATAATGAAAAATTCAGATAGTATTCTAAGAATTGTTTTGCCTGGAAAGTTTGAGATTATATAAAGACAGTTTTATTTTAATCTAAAAATTATCTTAATTTTTAATGGAAATTGATCTTAATTATTTATCCCAGATATTACAAGACAAAGCTTTATGTTTTGGGCTTCAAAGAGTCAATGGATTGCCCCAATAGCTGCCTCAGAATCATGAGTGAATTAAGTTTGGGCTGCGTATTACAGGGTTACAGGCCCTCTAGCTGCCCAGTTCTAAGGCATAACAAGTCCGAAGAAATTAGAGACATAATTAGGTAAGCCTATACTGTAAATCTTCAGAATTTTTTGCATAAAAAATAATAACT